AAATGATCCTTTTTTTTTTTTTTTTTTTTTTTTTGAGATAGGGTTTCACTGTATAGCCCTAGCTGACCTGAAACTTGATATTTGATATGTAGACCAGGCTGACAAATTCTAATTACTAAGTTTTAAATTTTTACATATCCTATATAATTGCATATATTTGAGTACGATGTGATTCTTTGGTATCAATGTCCATTGTAGAATGAGAATGATTAAATCAAGCTTGATTAACACATCCATCACCCCAGTACTTACCATTTTTAGTATGTTAATATTTTAAATCTATTCTGTTAGTAATTTAGAAATATACAACACATAATTACATTCTACGCATTGGAGGAATAAGCTTTAGCAATATGTGCCACTTTGCTCACTTTTTTGGTATAGTCATTTTAAATGAACTGCCTTTAGTCTAATAGAAATCTGTGCACCTGGCCATTTATCAACAAGATAAGCAGATGCATGCCTTGAACCATGTAATGGGTTGCATCCTGCTCACAGACTTGCATTACATGTAAGAAATATGGGAATTAGATATGGTTAAAAGAAAGAAGAAACATTCTGACTTTTTTTTTATCATGACTCTTAAACCTGATCCAATAAATTCCTCACCGTACTTTCCCTATGTGGAATTGGGAGAGAAATAGTTTTGTCTAGGAAGTATATAAAACAGATCACTGAAGAATTTAAAGAACTTTGCGTATCTTTAGTTGGTTGGGTTTTGGTTTTTTTTTTTTTTTTTTTGAAAGATTTTGTTGTTGTTGTTAATCCTAACATCCTCCATTAAAAACTTAGTAAATTTTATGAGAGACAGTAGTACATTGTCCTCAGAATTGTTAATGGGATCTTTTTAGAAAATAGCAACAGCAACTAAGCTCAGCTATTCCCTCCTTTCCCTTGAATGAAATAGAGAAACAGGATCTTTCAACTAAACATGCCATTGTGTTCACTGACTTTTCACAGTTATTCAAACTGAGACTGAGAATACTCTTGCAGGTCCCACCACAGTCAGGTCTTACCTGGCGGATGTGAGGCAGATGTCCTGCTGGAGGATTTGGTGATTGAGTACTGGAAGAAAGGGAAATTCAGACACTTTCCAGTCACCCTATCACATATGCCCAACTGGCAGTTGCAGGTCTGTTTGCATTCCATCCCGAAGGTGCCATAGGGGCAGTCTGTGGGCAGAGGAGGGGTTTAGAGACAGAGCTGCTTCCTATACATAGGCCTCCATCTTCCCAACCCCTTAGAATTTGAACCTCCTGGATTTTGACTGTACAATGAAAGTTGCTTCTCAAATACCCCAGGCTTTGAAAGTTGAAGGTTTGAGTCATAAACATGAAACTTCACAGTAAGACCAGATAATGCATGCTTCATGCTTAGGGTTATGTTGTAAAACTGAAGACAACTACTTATAACCAATCTCTTTGGACTAGTCTTAATTCTGTTCATTTTCTGTATAGATGGCCCAGACCCTCCCAGGTAACCTTAGTAGTAAAGATGGGAGCTTGAACAGATATATATGCATCAGCTCCTCAAAGAATTTGATAGGTGTGATGCTGTCTTCGATAGTTTATTTATAGATGGTTTACTGTTTTAAAGGTATAGCAAAGAGCTTCAAAAAAACCAGGGCTAAGAGAGCTATCAGCCCACTCCATCACCAAGTAACCAGTTCTCACTCTACTCCAACCCTTATGAAGTTCCTTATCTCTCATAATAGCAATGCAACTTCTCTAACTCCCCCAAATGTTAAGAGGATTCACTAATCAAACTCTCTGCCAAGCAAAGATGCTAATGAGAAAGAAATTTCAGGGTTTATATATCTGAGGGTTTGCATACCTTCCAAGAAATGGAAGCTTTCAATATTTCATACTTGGACTAAAACATGCTGCATTGAAATCAAGAGGTAAGTCACTTATTAAAAAGGCATAGTTGTGGTATAAACAACATCTCAGTAGATTAACTCAGCAGAATAGATGTAGAAGATATAGTCTTTGGGCATGAAAATATCCTTGCAAATGTACAATCACATACACATGCAGAAACAATCTGTGAGTGTTCAGTCACCTGATATTGCAGGGAATGATCAAGGTGGATATTAATGAAGTATATTTTAAGAGATTTAGCCTTGGTCTTTCCCCTATCTTTCAAATGATAGAGAACTGGATTTTTCATATACCCTACTTATTGCTGGGAAAAAGTCTTTAAAGTGGATTCGGAAACACTGTCTGGCAGAAAAGCATACAGGATTAAGATATGATTGTGTCTGCAGAGAAGCTGAAAATAAAAACTTCAGCCAACTTCCCAGTTCCAGTGGAGTCCCTGATGTGTTAAGTGCTGAGCAGATAGCAAATATCCATAAATGCATGTTATCTGGCCAATTATTAACTATCACCACAACGTCAAACATCTAAATGCTCAGAAAACATCTGGATATACAAACTGAAGCGTACAGTTTTCATGTGGCTAAAAGAGGGGATTCACCTGTAGCAACAGGGAATATCTCTACCTAGAGCTCATAAGGCTCATACATTTTTATTATTTCCATCAGAAAGAAAAATGCTTGAAATGAGGCTTACAAGCAATCTGAAGGATGCCAGAAAGAGCAATTCAAAACATGTTTTTTAACAACATAGCTCACTAATATCTACCTTGATCACTTGGCAGAAGAGCAGAGTGCTAGAATCTCCAGATGCCTCACAGCTGGATTCTTTACCTCAAGTCACTGTTCATTTATAAGTGCATTTACAAAGGCATATTTATGCCAAGAGAAAAGGCAATCCACCACATATACTTGCTGTATCATAAGCATGATTGTGTTAACCACTTCCTCTCTAATTTCCTTATGTGAGGTGCTGTTTTCTTGACTGATAAGCCCTGTAATTTCCAGAAAATACAGACCCTATTCAATTGAAAGAAGAGTGTTTGTATGTGTTCACCAAAGAAAATATTTCTTCAATAGTCCACCCCTTATTGGTTTTCAGCAAAAGTAATCTAAGCAAAGAATAAAATTCTCCAAATTCTTCAAGAATTTATTTCCTAGGCTTTCATAGATTATGCAGACCAACAGGTGATTAATTTATACACTATTTTCTAAAAGGAGAATTAATGAGGTCATCACAATACTGGGTGACTGCCATTCAGGGAAGAATGCAGTTGTAGTAAACACATAATATCTGAGTTATTGAGCCATTTCTCAGAACTTATTTTTGTAATTTTGACAGCTTCTTTGTATTACACAACCAGATAAAGTTCTAATATATTTTGCCTCTTAATAGCTATTAATGCTGAGATTATAAGGCATCTATTTATGGAGACTTTTAATTTATTTTTCTAATGTTTTTAAAATATTAAATTGGTCACTAAACTTAAAAATAAATTCCACAAATGCTTAACTGCATCATTTAGGCAGAATTTCTACCTTAGCTGTAATTTAAATTTTTTTCTTTAACGCTTATAAAACAGTCAACTTTTGAACTCTTTCTTTACAAACTTCCAGCTTGCTATTATTTTTGCTTATCTTATAACATCTGTTATTTTTCTAGCTGACTAAAACTTTTGTAAAACTAGAATGACGTTTATTTTATACTCCAGGGGACCTTCTTGCAAGAATGTGAGTTATTTTGTGGGATGACTTAAGCCCACCCTACACCCATAAAGCACACTAGTGTTCATCAGAAAGATCTGAGCTTCAGAAGCCCTCCACCCCGTGAACTCTTTCAAGATCAAAGATTCATGAAATCCGGAGTCCAAGAGGTTATCTTGTAGGGACCTCTGTAATCACTGCCTACAGAAGAACACCTAAGCCATTCCTGACAGACTACCTGTCAAGTTTCTAAAGTTTTCCAGAAAAGGAAGCAATTCAACCTTCCATTGCAACTTTCTTAAATCTAAACATAACGAGTAGAATGCTGCAATTCTTTGCGGCTCCCTAAACACTGGTTTCCATGGTTGTTTGCAGTAATATTCCTTTCTTCTACCTGAGACACCACCTGTGCGAAACATGCATTCTCCCTGGTAATCCCGAAGCGCAAAGCCAGCTTAATTCCCACGCTGGCTAAAAGCCCCTCAGAGATCTCTGGACAGGGGGCACAGCAAGGGGTCGCTCTTTACCTTTGCAGATACCAAATTCGTCACCAAAATCATCCTCCTCGCTATAAAACTGACATCTCAGCCCAGGGCCACACTTGACGCCGTCCATGCCCGAGACCGTGCGGTAGCAGGTTTCTCCAGGCCCAGCAGCACACACCTGGCAGCAGCCACAGTCATCCAGCACTGTCCTCTTGCAGCGCAGGCTGCTTCTGCATGCACTGTTGTCACAATGTTCTGGGCAATCCACCGCGTACTTGGTGCTCCAGGCCACGGCCAGGTGCACAGGTACCAGGAGCGTGGTCAGTAGTAAGAGACTCTTCATGACTCGCTGCTGGCTCAGGCTCGACTCCCTGCAGTCGTGGTCTTGGCTGGAGGAAAGCAGCTGTCCAAAGTGGTAGCTGAGCCTCTGCCTACACGTTTATGAGTTTTATACACTGGGTTGCCCGCATGCTTCCCCGTCATCAATTTCCTTAACCCAGCGGCAGCGCTGTCCTCCTGCCAGCCTCTCTTGTTTTAGTTTATGAAATCCAGGATGAAGGCTGGATTAACACGCTGCTGCCATCCAGGAATTGAAAAGCCCAAGCTGATGTCATCTGTTATGTTTAGATGGTTGTTTTGCATGAGGGCTGAAAAACTCTGCTCACATCCGTCTCAAGGACTCAAGGACGTCTGTGAAGGGGGAATAAAGAAGGTTGCATGCCCCCCTTCTGGACAGGAATTGTTCTGACAGGGCATATTACTTGGGGTGTAGCTTTGTCTCAGAGTCTCTGTAGTCCAGAGGAAAATGATATAGATATGAATCATCAAGTCCGAAGAAGCTTCTACCAAATAATAATAAATAACAATAAGCACTTGGTATTTCCCCTCAATAAATAGCTATGAGATCATTTGGAAAAGAAAGGGTTATATTGTGCTTTTTCAGTACTTAGAAGAAAGAAAATATTTTGATAGAGACTTTTGAAAGACTTTATCTTCCTTCCTCGCACTCTTCTGCTCAAATATTACTTTTAAAGCAATTTATGCTTTTGTACATATTCAAGGCTGCCTTGTAACTGTGTTCTAGCAAGGTGTGTGGCACCTAAGAATTTTCTTTAATCGATACAAAAAGCCACAAAAGAGGTAAGGTCCTGGCACTGTTTCTGAGTTACTCAATTTTGGAAAAACTTATCAGTTCGACTATTCTCGACTCAAAAACTCCCTGGGGAGAAGGCTCATCCATCACCCAGTCTGTTTGTCCAATGATCACATCCATTCAGAGTCCTTTTCCTCACCTCTTGGCATCTATCAGAGCTCTTTCTTAAAACAGCCAAACAAGGCAGCCAGCCCAAGGAAACAAGTGAGCCAGCAGGGAAATAGGCACACAGCCCCAGAAAGGCAAGTCATGAGGAAGGGAAAACATTATCCATCAGGAAACAAGGTCTTTATGCTACGGAGCATCACAGGGTGTAGGCCCACCAGGGAAAACAGAATAACCCTCTTAAAATATTGACTGGACCAGGGCCTTATTTAGCAAGGTTTGTAGAACAGAAAAATCAAGATGAAAGAGAAGACAGAGGCGTTCTTACACCAACTACATGTTAGATTCTAAGTTCCCAGCCTCACTTGTCAAAGAAATAAAGCCACTGTCACTTGGTGAAGAAATGGCCCCATGAAGTGGAAAACTCCTGTCTGTCACCAATTAGCTGTGAGACATCCACAGGACTCTTCTTCTTCTGTTGAGAATGGATGGTGTTAGGCTACTTGACCTCAGGAAGTCTTGTGCCCTCTAAAAGATAAAGCGGCAAAGCCAATGGATGTGACTTGATGATTAGCCTTCACAAGAATACTTTTGAAGGGCTGGAGGTAGCAGAAACCAGAGTTCAAGGAATTTGGTAGGTAGGAAATGAAGGAAAGACTTTTAGCTCCCAATTTTCCCAAAATGTCCATGGAATTTAATTTGAAATACTCCATGTCCATCTCCCTCCAGGAGCAAACATGTACTTAGCAAGTGGACTACTCGGTGTTCACAATAGCAAGTAAGATCTATTGGGAACACAGTATGTGCCAAGCACTGTTCTTTTTTGTGTGTATATTAATTATACAAAGTAATTCATTGACATTTCCATACATGCAATATACTTTGATCACAGAAAAACCCTCTATTAACTTTTCTTTAAAAAAGTACATTTTTAGTAATTCTTTGAATTTTATACACACATATAACTCCTCTCCCCTATCTCTTCCCAGCACCATCCCCCACCTCCCTATCTCCTCCCAATTTTGTGTCCTGTTTTTATAACCCACCAAGTCCTATTTGAGTCATTCATATATTTATTGGTTTGTGGTCATCCACTGGAGTCTGCTTGACGTACCAGAGGCTACACCTTTAAAGAAAGCTGGCATTCCCTCCTCCAGAAGCCACCAACTGTCCATAGCTCCTCAGCTAGGGATGGGAGCTTATGAGCCCCTCTCTGCTTCTTGAGGAAATGTTGCCTGGCTTGCTCTTGGGCAGGTCTTGTGCAGGCAACCATAGCTGCTGTGAGTGCAAGGGCAGACATCTTGTCATGTGCATAAGACACTATTTTGCTCCAGTCTTCCCCAACCTCAGGCTCTTGCAAGCCTTCTGAGGTCCACCTGGCTGACCAGATTTGTGCTAGTGGGTTACATATTCTAGCCCTGTTTTCCTGTGCATCAGTTGTCAAAGAGTGAGAAGGGACAAGCAGTCACAGTTCTATTATTCAAGTTCAAGCTCAGTAAGCTAGTCCAAACCATCTTCGAACCCAAAAATTATAGCAAGGGTTGCTCCTCTGGATCAGAACAGAAAAATGATATGACCTAAGAGCTTATCAGCCCAGCACATCCTGTACATTTAAAGTGTCATTTTGATTTTTTTCTTAAACTCATTGTGCCAACCAGAAAATAAGCCTAGGGAGTATGCACTGATATTGTGTGCTATAGTTTGCAAATAATGATTGCTTGTAATAAAATACCAAGAATTTATTTCTGAAGAGGCAAAGATCCAGTGAGAAAGGTTCTGTGCAGTTTCCAAACCATCAGGAAACCAGTTCATGGTCAAGTCAATTGTACCATATTATCTGTGCCTTCTGAGTAAACCCTCTCTACCCAATAAGGTTGATTTGATTTGAATTACAAAGGCAGGCTTGAAGGCAAGCATTGCCAAGAAGCAATGGAAACATCTACAAGCAGATTTTAGATATAGGAGATTTAGTTTTCTATTTAATTTTTGTATTGCGGGGAACATCTAAAAGTCTTCCTGCTTTGATACCAGCTGTAACAGTCCTGCAAGTGCCTAATGCGAGGGCTAACACATACCAGTTCAAAATGTAATAAATACATAAATGAAACCATCTATTTCTCACAATCATTTTCAGAAAGTAGCAACTTGACATGAGTATTGAAGTGCTGCTTTTTCTCCTCTTTCTACTGATAAAAGCAAAGTAAGAGTCAGGTTCTTGAGCAGAGTGAGTTGAACTACAGAATGTAACTGTTTCCCTGTGGAAATGAGATACAGGCTTCAAGAAAGAAGCCACAAGGGCTTCAGTGAAGTCAGACCAGACTGTAACTCCATCATGTCAACTCCTGTGTAACTAGGATATTTTGTCTTTTGACTTCCAGCCTTGGAAGTTAATGGAAATCTTGTGTAACCATAGCAGAGGACTCTGATAAAATATACCTACCAAATGGCTGAGACTCATGGTGTTCACAAGTTAGCTGTCGAAGCCAAAGGCATGGAGACAGCTTATGGGAGTTCTAGAAACAGCTCAGCTACTTCTAAGCTATGTGATCTTAAGCAAGCCACATGGCACATGATTTAGACCTCTCCTTTCTACCTCAACAATGAACTAAGAAGACTAAACAGGGCAACAGCTGCAAAAGCATCGTGACCATTATGATCAAGAGTCTAGTTTCTGAAGATTTGCTTCATTCTTTTCAGTTGTATATGTCTATGCACGTATGTATGTGTATGTATATGTTCATGTATGAAGGCACATGTGTATGCAGGTGCATATGTGTATGCAGGTACATGTGTATGCGTGTGCTTGTAGAAACCAGATGACAGCCTCAGTTGCACACCTCAAGGCCACCCCCCTTCCTTGTTTTGTGAAGCAGGTTTTCTCACTGGCCTGGAGCTTGCCAGCTGGGAGAGGCTCACTAGCCAATGAGCCCTGAAGGATCTTCCTGTCTCTACTTCCTTGATGTTGAGATCACAACCATGTATCGCCACACCCATCTTTTTATGTGGGTGCTGGGGATCAACCTCAGGTCCTCACACATGTATAGCAAACACTTTATCAACTAAGCTATTTCCCCAGCCCAAAATTTGCTTCATTCTTCAAAAATGAACTTATATCTTGGAGCAAATAGTTTTAAAAAATCTCTAGTATTATCTAAGGGGTCCAATTTTTTTTTTTTTTTTTTTTTTGGTATTTTTGAGACAGGATCTGCTTGTAGCCCCAGCTGTCCTGGAACTCACTATGTAGACCAGACTGGCATCAAACTCACAAAGATCTACCTGCTTCTGCCTCTCAAGTGCTGGGATTAAAAGCATGTGCCACCATGCCCATCTCTAAGTTTTGATTTTAATAAAGACATTTTCAAGACTATAGACAATTTTAAGGCTATTTTCAAAAACTACATACATCTGCTTAAAAGTGTCAAGTGAAGTATACCTGTCTTAATTAGACTTCTTGAAAAGATGCTGGTTCTCTGGCCTGTCCTAGTGAGCAGGTCAGTACTGTCAACAGCTAGAGAACCATCGCAGTGGTTTATATAAGCAGCCCTTCAGGAACCATGAGTATGAATGTCTGTGAGTATGGGAAGGTAAGGGCAGGCTTCCTGAAGTGCCTGCTACCAACTCAACCCAGGATCTCTGGGCACCCTCAGAGTACTTTGCCACCACATCCAGATCCTTGACTCCGATGGAATCTAAAGAAGCAACAATAGAATTAAGTGGGTTTTTAAATTTTGTTTTGCTTTTGTTTTAACCACAGTCAAATCTAGAAATTTTAACTTTGCTTACAATCTCAGAATTCTTGTAGAGACACATGGTCTAGACTTGGAAGGATATAAAAAGCTTTTACTATTGAAATGGCTTCTTTTTATTCCCAATTCTTTGACAGGTTCAGTTAAGGTAAGCTTCTCTAACAGCTAGGTCTTTTTCAAACTATGAGTGTTAGACTTTTTTCTTTATGACAAAATACCTGAGAAAATGAACTTAAAGGAAGGTTTATTTTTTGGCTCATGGTTTCAGTCCATCGTAACTTGGATCCATTGTTTCTGGGTCCATGGTGAGATACAAATTCATGACGAGGAATATGCGGT